CAGCCTGAATGTTCCAGTAAAACCAATGGACAGCTGGTCAAGAGGAATCCGCCGTCGTCTTCTGGTGGAAGCGACCTTTGAATCTTTTCACCCAACACTTCCACTCGAAACGGAGTAAACTCAACAATTATGAAATAAGCGATTCCTCGAAACCCAACTTTTCTTCGTATACCTTTCAGTCGCCATGGCGTCGAGTGAGGCCAACCAAGACCAGCCAGAAGGGCTCTGTCATTCTTGCAATATCGGCCAAGGAGTATGCTATGCGTATAGCGGCCGTTCTTTTGATCTACCTGGAATGAGTCTCGGCTGCGTCTGCCCAGCTGATCGGGAGACTCTGCCCGTTGGATCGTCGAGTGGCCAAACTGCCCACTCGGATCCAAATCCGTCGCCTGTGCTCTCTAGCCTGCATCACCAGGTACCATCTCTGCCTCTTGCGCGTCCTTCAACAGTTTCTCACTTTCATCAGTATTCAATGTCAACCTCCAGTGTGGCCATTGCCTCAACTCAGAATGCAGATTTCCTAAGTCTTTTTGCTTCACCTAGAAATTTGGCGCAAAAGATTCCGTCGTCGATTCTTCGGGAAAATTCGAAAGAAGACGAGGCATTTTCAACTCAGGCCACAAAGAGCCACTTTTGCAACCGAAACTTAGGCATGTTTCCAAATTTAAGAGGTTATCACTTATTCTTGCACACGATCTACCGGCAATAACCTGTAAATTATTACTTGTTAGGGAGACTTTCATTTCGTATGAAAGTGAATGAAGAAGAGATTCGTTGGTCGATCTCACCAGATGAGGACGGATGAATCTCGTTGTACTGCAACCGTTTGGCTTTTATACGATATTCATGTTGACGCAGTCCACGAGACTTCCTCCCTCGTTTCGGCTGAAAACGTGCTGAGCTTTCGTCCATCATCAGAACTGGGTGTCATTCTTGTAAAAGGCTCACGTTAGGGGGACTTTCAGTTCGCATGAACGTGAATGAAGAAGAGATTCGTTGGGCGATCTCACCAGATGAGGATGGATGAGTATGTGTATTTGTGCAGATTAGCGTCTATATGCAATACGGTTCCTAAATCAGAGTTGTCAAGTTTAATCTCAGGTTCTGATCCTCAAGACCTAATGACATAAGAGAAAGCCTTGGTCGAGACTGCGTAAGTATGGTTGAGATAATGAGATATGAGCTTGTAAGCATGTAAGTCAAGTTACGAAACCATTTGTCCTAACCTTTAAATTAAGGGTCATTAACGTTAAACCCTCCAAGGAAAGGCAAAACTGGGGTTGCGTAATCTGAGTTATCTGGTTTGGTTAATTAGCCTACTCTAACATGTTGGACGAATGTGAATGAAATTAGAACCATCA